AAGACTGGGGGACTTCAGCTCCCAGAATTCTCTAGTCGGCTGGAGAATTCTGGGAGTTGAAGTCCCCCAGTCTTAAAGATGCCAAGTCCTAGGGGACATACCGGTAGCAATTGTTATAAATATGAACCAATTGCCAAGCATCCAAATTTTAATGACATGACCCTGGGGACGCTGCAACAGTCATATGAAAAACGGTGATAAGTTCCTTTCTTCAGTGCCATTTTAATTTTGACCACTCAACTAAACAAACTGTTATAAATTGAAAACTACCTGTATATATAAAACTGAGGGTAACTTTAACGGATTAATTCTTTGAAAGCATTAAAAAAACAAAAACAAAGCAGATAACAGTACTTCAAAACAACCTGTATACGTTCCAATCGGATTCTTTTCCACTTCGTGTTGAATGTTGAGAGTTTCCTGAAATGTGTGTATTTGCCTCTACGGGGAGGACAGGATAATCATTGAGCTGGACGCCTTCTGTTCTTAGTAACTGAATTGTAGCCTAAATACAGACACCGGGAGGGAAAAAACAACTATCAAGGAACTAATATAAAAAAGATCAACACTGCATAAAAGTTCTTAGTGATAGACATAGACTATTTGTATTCTTATGTTTTTCTTATTATGCACAGGTGCCATAACAAAGCTAAAGCCAGATGTTTACTTCTCATTCCATTGCTATTACTGGTAGGGGAAAAAAGCTTCCGTGATTAATTTTAACTTAGCTCCCAGCAGCATTCATCCTGATCCTGGAGGTTCAGGGTTGATTTTCTTTCACTTGGTGAATATTTCAGGATCCGAATCCATCACTTTATCCCAAACGCTTGCGTTTCAGCAAATCTGTTCTTTATATTCACAAATCACAGGGAACCAAATTGGTTGAAAAACATAAATGAAAGTTTTTTTTTAAACAGGGCTATTTATTATTAATCTGTTATATTTAATGAAGCCTTAATTTCAGCTGTATCATCCAATGCATTATGTATGAATAGTTCAAATGCTTGGGGGGGAAATACTCAGTTATATAAAAGCTCTTATGCAGACTGCATAGCAATGGAACTTGCATTCTACAGATATTGGGGTGTAACTCCAGTTTGGACTAGTGGTTAAGGCACAGGACTAGAAAGAAAGAGGCCATGAGTTCAAGTCTCACCATGGCCATGAAAGCCAGCTAGCCTTGCCCCAGTCACTCTCTCAGCCCAACTCCCCTCCCAGGGTTGTTGTGAAGGAAATAGGAGGAGGAAGGTGCGTTTGGATATATTGGTTGCCTTGACTTCTTTGTAAAAAATAATAAGGGCAGAATAAAAATAAAGGAATAAACTCCCCACATTGTCTGTTGTTGGTCACACTCAATGGGACTTCTAAGAGTTGGTATAGCAAAATATGGATCCTGATGCTTCCGTTTTTTACACTGGAAAAGACTTTCCCTTGTATGCATAACACGTAAAACGTTATGATGATATTAACCTTTCAATTTTCCTATGGCCCCAAACAGTCAGTTTGAAAAACATGATACCCATGAAACAATAGTTAGGAGAAATTTAAAAAACCCAACTGGTATCATTTCTTTATTTCAAAACTACATGCACGGAGGAGACGAATATTATAAGCATACTTAATTTTACTATTGGCCAGAGTTTGCCAGAGGTCCTTCCCCCATAAAAAGCAGCCATATGGAAACAAGCGAGAGCAGCAGGGGGGGGGGGGGGTCAAACGTGAAGGCCGCATCAGGGTTTGACCTCAGGGGCCAGGATGGGCGTGGCCAGCTTCACATCACTCATGGTGGGGGCATCTGTGGTGGAGCACTGTCAGCGAAAATAGGCTCCTGATCTGTTTTCGGCCACGACGGCCTCCTGCAGCCGTCTACCAGTGGAAACAGAGCTTGTTTTCCCTGGGAGATAGCTGCAGGCCACTGTGGCCAAAAATGGGGGCCTGGGAGAACTGTGCGAGGCCCTCCCAAGTTCTGTTTTTTCCTGGCAGTGGGCTCAGTGGTGGGTTCCGGATCCCATCGCAACTGATACGCCGGGTGTCCACCACGTGCTCGTGTGCTGCACATGCATGCGCACCACCACCCTGCGATGCTCTAGCTGCTCGAGCATCACGCAGGTGCCGTACGCTGCGTGCGCATGTGCAAATGGCCCAGTTGGGTCAAGTAAGGAAGGTGGGCTGGTGGGCGGGCCCTCCGCAGCACCGTACCGGAACCTGGTGCTCCCAGCAAGCAACAGTACGCCCGTACCAGGACGTACTGGCCGTAACCCACCACTGCGTGAGCTGATCCTTCACTGTTTCCAGAGTGGCCCCATGGAGCCTGCGGGCCGGTTTCAGCTCCTGGGCCGGCCCGCGTTTGACATCCCTGAGCTAGAGTAATGAATATCAGTGTCCTGTAAAAAATGCACAAAATGATTTTAAAACTATCTCATAGTTGCCTAATTTACTAACCTCTGCATTGATACATCTTACTTCTGCTAAGGTTCTAAGTAGATCCCTTTCTAAAGAAAATACTTTAGTAGGCACCGGTGACTCTCTTAATACGTTTCCTTCAGGCTCCTCAGCTGTTGTACTTACGCTGCCTTTCTTCTTCACCACTAAAAGACACACAAAATGCATTCGTTTAAAACTTTTCGCGTGGTCACTTAGTGAAGCAATTTAAAAGTTCTTTGTGAAACATTGGCTAACTCAGAATTTGAAAAAAGCTGCTTGGTTAGGGGTAGTATGCTATACAGTAGTCCTTGACTTACAACAGTTTATTTGAAGCTACAACGGGACTGAAAAAAGTGACTTAGGATCATTTTTCACACTTGTGACCGTTGCAGCATCACCATGTCCACGTGACCAGTACCAAGGCAATTCGATTTCCTTTTGTGACCTTCTGACAAACAAAGTCAATGGGGAACCCAGAGTCACATTATAAGCATGTTACTAACTTAATAACTGCAGGAAAACTCACTTAACAAATGTCTCATTTAGCAACAGAAATGTAGGTTCAATTGTGGTCATAAGTGGAGGACTACCTGCATTGCAACATTTTGTTCCGATCAATGTAAACATGCTAAGAGGGCAAAAGCAAATTCAACAACAATTAGATGAGCACAGAGAGTTTCCTATATTGTATCTCTCTGCTGCGATCTAATATCCATGTGGAATTTTATAGCCCAGTTCTATTCTAAGGCCATCTAAGTTGCTGACATCGAAACTAAACTATTAATCTTCAGCATCCCATTGACTAAAAGGAGATGCACTTTTAGCAGTGGCACTGAAAATTTCATCTTCCCGTGTGGCAAGAACTAATGACTGTAGCTAATAGCATTAAACCAACATTTTCAAGTGATGGTTTTTAAAAATAGCCAGGGCAAGTCTAGAAAATGAATAACTTCACAAAAATGAAAAAATAATCCCAGCTCTTTTTGTGTTTTATTCCTGCTTAGATCTTAATGAACCTTAACATAAAAGTTCTGCCAGGACAATTATATAAGTGCACCTGAACTCTTCCTGATAGTGAGGAAACCTGATAATAGAATAGAATGGAATTCTTTATTGGCAAAGTGTGATTGGACACACAAGGAATTTGTCTTTGGTGCATCTCCTCTCAGATGCATTAGTCATGAATCATAAGGTACAACACTTAATGATAGTCATAGGGCACAAATAATCAATCAGGAAACAATCAATATCAATATCAATCGTAAGGATACAAGCACCAAAGTTGGACAGCCATACAGTCCTAAGTGGGAGGAGATGGGCGATAGGAACGATGAGAAGACTAATAGTAATGCAGCTTCAGTGAACAGTTTGACAGTGGTGAGTCTTTAGAAATAAAGTCTTAAGAAGCATCCACATATTTGAAACAGAGAGGGAAACACCAAACATACTTTTGTTGCTTTGATTGCAAACTACAGCCAGTCCTTGATTTACGATCACAATTGTTTAACAACATTTCTGTTGTTAAGTGAGACATTTGTTAAGTGAGTTTTGCTCCATTTTACAACCATTCTTATCACAGTGGCTAAGTAAATCACCGGAGTTGCTAAGTTAGTAAGATAGTTGCTAAGAAAACAGGCTTCCCAATTGTCTTGGCTTCTCGGAAGGTTGCAAAAAGTGGATCCTATGACCTTGGGACACTGCAGCCATCCTAAATATGAGTCAGTTGTGAAGCGGCTGAATTTTGATCACGTGACCATGGAGATGCTGCAATGCCATAAGTGTGAAAAGTGGACATAAGTCACTTTTTTCAGCCCCGTTGTCACTTTGAAGAGTCACTAAATGAAGTGTTGTATGTCGAGGACTACTTATATCTCCTAGAGGTTTCACCCTTTGATGTGATAGGGGAGCGCCGTATCCCCAATAACCCTGAGTTTGATGCTAGTAGAAGACGGGCTCTCGTTTCGGTCATCAAGTCCTGGTAAGCCTGAAAGAGGAGGGGAGGTGAAGCTCAAAGTAATCCACAACAGGAATGAAGGCAAGCGTAGCGCCAGAGACAGGAGCGAAACTAACTCACTCAGGAAAAGGAACCCTAAAATACACAAGATGAAGGCTCTGCTAAACCAATTCTGTATTGGTGCCAGAAAAACATGGCCGAAATATTTAGATAAATTTAGATGCCACTTGATGAGACAGGAACTATGGTAACTTTCTAAGTGAATGGGATAATAATGTTCATCCCCCAAATCGGAATCTGTATGCCATATGAGGATATTGGTGGCACAGACAACCACTAATTGTTTATCTATTTCACACGTAACACTAATTCAGGAATTAGAATTTAGGCCTCCAACCATATCTGATGCAGTTTTCTTCTGACTAAACCTGTATAACCTCACACTTGGAAGATAATCCAGGAATGTTTTAGAAGTCTAAATTCTCTGTCTCTACTCGGCCAAAGACTGAGTTGAACTGGGGAGGAACCAGTCAGAGGAGGCCTGTCCAAAAAAAGATGACTCAGTCTCCAGGGAGAGAGGCAGAGAGTTACTACCCATTCCCAGAGAATCTTCCCCGTCACTATAGAGAAGAAAAGGTTCTATCCATGTGTCTACAAAGAAAAAGAGATTATTTGCCTTGATTATGACATTATATTACATACAAATACCAAGACTTACATCTTTTGCGTTTCGATAGCTTTATTGCTTGATTATCATCATACAAGAGACAGAACCTACAGGCAGCCCGACAAACGTCCCACACGCTTTGCTTCCGTGCTGTTTTGGCTATTTCTGACCACAGGCGGATTCTGGAGCAAAGATTTAAAATAAAAAATCAGTTTTTTAAAGAGGATAATGAATGTAAACATACAAACTCTTAAATAATGTGTTGAATTCCCCTCCACCCTCAATCCCTTCACCATGGAGGGCCAGAGGAGGCATAAGGGGGTAATAAGGGGGACAAATATACTTCTATAAGTTTCTGCTTTGCCTTCATGTTTTGCATTTGTGTGTCTGTGTGCACGGGAAAGCATGGGGGGGTGGGCTGTGTTTATTATTCTCTCACATACTTCCCTCATCTGAAGAAAGGAAAGAAGCTTAGATCTGTATAGTCAGACGTTGATCTGAGCCACTGTGTAACTGCATCTGCCATAGGGAAACATTGGGGAATGTTTTATCTGCCTCTCCACCTTGTGCTACCCCACTGAGCCCCCCCCCCCCTGCCCCGGGTATGGTAACAGTTCTACAGACGTTTATTCAAATAGGTCCTTGGAAAGCATCTCTGTTGCACGGGTCCGGATTCCAAGCTCACTACAGCAAGTGGGGAGCCAAATCTAATGGGCACACATGAAGTCCAAGGAAGTAGTCCGGGAGTCGACCAGGCCAGGATACGAGGCACAGGGACACCAAGCACAGAAATGGACACATTGGTCCAGCGACACTCAAGTCCTGAGGGAGGGTCTAGCTGTGTCATGCCTATCTTCTCTCCGCTCTATGTGTCCTTGGTTCAGGAAGATCTGTGGACTCCCCCTCCTCCTTATTGCTAACGGGTGGCAGGGGTTCCCGCTCCTAGCTCGGAGGCTTCCGGCCAACTTGCTACCACAGTGGCTCACCTGCCTCAGCCTGTCACTCGTCCTACTGACCCAGCCGAGGCTGCTCCATCAGGTTAGCATTCTCTGAGCCCCAATCCTGACCAATACTCCGCTCCACATTTTCCTCCTCACCCTCCTCCTCTGAACTCGCATTTGTGGGCGGATCCATAACACAGCGGGATCCAGTATTGAGCTTTCTTTTGTTGACTTCTCCCCATACAACAGATTTGGTCCCATTTCTGTTCCTTTCTAATTCCTCTCCTCAGCATTCCAAGTCCATTTCTTTCCAACATTACAACTTTCCAAAACATCAAAATAACAGGAAGAATACCTATTGGCACTCTAGTGATTTTTAAGCTGGGAGAAATTGTGGACACTAGGGTGTATTTTTATCAGGATAAAATTGTTTTTAAGAAACAAAGCAAAATGGCTTATTTTTGAATATTTGTCTACAACCATAATTACCTTTCTTTTTCGTTTTCATGTCCTAGTCTCTTCAAATGTCCATCTACTTTCTCTACATTTTTAGCGTGGTGCTCTGCTTTCGCACAGAGATAGCTAATTTGATCTTTATGTTTACTTGGGGGAACTAAATAGGAAGGAAGAAAATTTAATATTATTTGGAATAGATTCATGGTATTGCTACTACACTTATTTCACAACAATTAGTTAAGATGTTGGACGAGGATTGGTAAATAAAAGTTCTACAGAAACTACAGTAGAGTACAGGGAGTCCTTAAAAAAGTGACATGGCATTTTTTCACACACACTGCAACACCTCTATGGCCATATAATCAAAATTCAGATGTGTGGCAACTGACTCATATTTATGACAACGGCAATGCCCTGGGGTCATGTGATCATCTTTTGTGACAAGCAAAGTTAATGGGGGAAGCCAGATTCCCTTTATAAGCATGTTAATAAGTTAATAATTGCAGTGATTCGCCTAACACCTGCGGCAAGAAAGATTGTAAAATGGGGCAAAGCTCACTTAACAACTGTCTCACTTAGCAGCAGAAGTTTTGAGCTCAGTTGTGGTTGTAAGTCAAGAACTACCTGTAGCAGCTGTTGGAAATATCAGTGTTACATGTTTATTCCTACATTCCATAAATGGTAGATACACCATGAGGGGGGTGTTAGACAACTCCATGCCCAGGGACTCAGCTAGATCAATGCCGAAGTAGAGATCATGGTTTTTTGCAGACAGGCTGCCAAGAGTCCCAGCAAGGCTTCTCAGTGCGAGAGTTCAGAAGCGGAGAGGCTCCCTTCCAATGTTCATAATCTCTTTCAAAATCTGGCTTTGAATTCTGTCTGCTAAAATCACAATCTCTACTTGGATACTGATCTCCCTAAACCTGGAAAACCCCAACTAAAAATACGTATAATGAACCTGGTCTGCCGTTCCCCCCCCCAAATCCTTATATTATAGATATTCCTTAACCTCTTTAAAAAAAAATCAAATATAAGCAAAGGTTTTTGGAAAACTAAGCTATTAGTAATGGAATATTACATTACAGTATGTTCCCTTTTTCTTTTTTGCTTCACTTCAACAGTTTGGAAAATGGGAGATATTCGAAGGTGGGGAAACACAAGAACAACATAATAACTAGGCCATCAGATAGATATGCGCTTCATTTTCCCTTAAACCATTTGCCCAAGGAGACTGAAGTGACAGGAACTGATTTTGACCATTTCCCTACTGTCATTCTCTGAGAACAAGTCTTAAACTTTCTTGACTTTTAGAAAGCACTTAAAACCTGGCTGCCTGCCCAGGGATGAGAGCTGAAAAGTTAGTGAGGCCCAAGTGGTTTGTGGTAACAAAAATGCCATTTTTTTTTTGTTTACATTAGGCAGCTAAGTTTTTACAGTTATTTATATTGCTTTAATTCCTCGATTTTGTACACTGCCCAGAGTTGGTAAGAGTGTCAGTCATATAAATAAAATCAAATAAGTAACTAATAAACAATTCAAAGGACAAGATGTTTTTGTAACCGCAAAACACTGAAAAGTTGACATAAATATACGTACACAAAACATGGATGTATTTAGGAAGTCAAGCAATCCTCTGCTAAATGGTGCAAATATCTAAAGCAGCATCTTTTCAACTCTTCCAAATCTACATTTTTACCAGCTTTCTTTAATTAAAACTCATCTCTAATTTATACAGAGAGTCTACAAAATGTTTGCAGAAAAGCTGTGGATTTCTTATGGCTTGAGGGAACAGTTTTCCTGCAGCACTGAACCACCATAAACAATTTATATGGAATATTTTGAAAATAATTTTTGCCCGTAAGGATCTTAAATCAAGTCTCAAATTAAGTTCATGACTGTGAAGGAAAAAAGAACACCTCGTGAAAATGTGATTTAGATGTTTACTTTTAACTACAACTGGTCTGTTCAGTGGTAAAATAGCTCCACCAGAAATGAAGATCAGAGGCAGGAAAATGGTTCCTGTTCTCATAATTATCACGTTGTGCTGTTCAAGTTTGGATGTGAGAAGCTGCTGTGGATTATTATGGGAAGGAGAGGTCACTATTAACGGAGCTTCCTCAAAAATCAACCACCTGGCATGGAAGTGATTTAATTTTTTTCCCATTGCAACAAGGGATCATTGAATCCAAACCTGTTAGCCGAAGGGGGAATGAAATATCTTAGTTTTGCCAACACTGAAAACTTAAATTACCTTTAGCCTCGTTTTCACTATCAAGAACCACCTGAAAAGCCTCCGGTGCTAGAGCAAAGCCAGCATTCACCAACAGAGAGCGTTTTTTCCTCACACTGTCATTTGCGGTTCCTTTTTTAGCCTAGAGGGAAAAAGGACGAATTATACTGGTAAAAATTCAAGAAAATATGATGATGAACGAAGAAGACTCATTCCGTTCAGGACCCCCCCACCCCAATTAGCTAAGTCCCCTCCAGGATACAATATTTCCCCCCTTCATCTTTTTTTCTTTCCACGTGACAAGAAGCTTTGATCTTTTGCTTCCACATGTCACCGTTGGCTCTGGGCAAGCAACAAAATTAGGAGGGAGCAACCACTTCTCTGCCCTCTTTTCCTCACATGGCGTTTCTGTGGCAAACAAGAGGAAGAAAGGCGCCACGTATTGGTTCCCCAACAATATATGTGTATTGACCTCAACCCTTTCTCTCTTTATCGTACTGGTTACAATGTGTAAGAGCTGGAGGGGGAGCACTCCAACACCTCGAAACTTTTCAAGGCATTTGCAGCCCCCCTTTTTCCAATCGTACTGATGCTCTAGTAACAAGGGGGGCAAGGATAGTTGATGCGCAAAATATACATTGCAACGCTTATTGCAAAGCCTCTCAACTATCAAACGACAACCCGGCCTTCACATGGTGCCCCCCCGTTCCCACCAATCGGGCCTCGGCGCCCCTTGGGACTGGCGTCCCCTTGGGTATATCCAGCCGAAACAGCTTCCATGGATCGCCGTATCCATTCACCGAAAACAGTGGCGTCAAATTTCCATGGAAGTCGCCTATACCCACGATGGGTGAAGAGGCGTCAAGTACAAGTACAAAAGTCTAGTAACAACACATCCTGCTCTAATGTATCCAACATATATATACCTGTTCAATCATCAAACTTGCTTGGTCTTCCAGGCGCTCCAAAGACTTGTACAGCATGGTATTTAAGCTAAGCCGATGGAAAGCCATTTTCAGATATTCGTGGTACTGTCCGTTGTTATCAAGTTTGATGGCCTTCTCCAGGTGTTCCATTGCGGTCTCTACTCTGTCCGATTTTTCTTCAATACGAGCAATTTCCATATGAACTTGACAACGCAATAAAATCAACATGCTAGGAAATAACCGTAACTATTTTCAATTACACACATTAAGACATTCTGTAAAAAAAAATGTTCTCCTTATGCAATTCATATTTATTACAATTAGATTTACTATTATGACACACAACAATGTGAAATCACAGCTACCAGTTCACTAGCTGGTGTTGGCTTATATAGTAATTGCTTTTTAAGAATAGGGATTCACAGGTTTTCAAGGATCCACCTACATTGTTTAGCCCAGTGGTTCCCAAAGTGAACGGTACCACCCCCTGGGGGGCAGTGGGATGACTTAGGGGGGCGCTAAGAGGCAAGGGGGGTGGCAGAGGAGTGCTGCAGGTGCCCCCTCGCAGGGCGCACTGGGTCATGGCATGCCAGCAAACAAGAGAAACCCCATCTGTAGGATGCAGGCAGCATGCAAACCACACACCCTTTCTCATCCATGGGAAAACCTCTCTCCATGGAATCAGTCCCTGGTGCCCAAAAGAAAGGCTGCTTTCTTACAGGTTTCCATCCTATCTGTCCTACATTTAATACTTATATGAAACTGCTGGAGAAATGAATCTATGAATGGATGAATACATCTATTAAGCTGAAAGAAATCATGCTATCTAAAACAAGAGCAATTTACCTGTCAATCTTCTCTAGCACTTCAGCAATTGCTAACAGGGGTTTTCGTATGTGATGTTGCAAATTGTGTTGCAACAGAGGTAAGCAGATATTCCACTGGGTAGTACATACCGCCTGAATAATATTAGGATCTCTCAGCCGAATTGCACGGTTCAAAATTAAATCAAGTTTCTGTATAGCATTTAACTGAACCTGTAGGAACAAAATTCAGTTTGCGATATTAGGGAAACAACGCTTTAATGAACCTAATCCGAAAGCCCCCTCGGAACTGGGATGCCCCACGGACTGATCTGTTAATACTATTCAATTTTCCCCCCCCACTTTTATAGTTGGTGCCTTTTTATTGGTAGCCACATCTTGCAAGCACAATTTATGATCTGCACACAGATCCCCGAATTAAGAGATCATGCTCATGCCTTGTAACCTGATTCCTTTATTGTCAAAAGAGACAGACACTGAAATTATAAACCTAAAGCGGAGGGTGTGTCTATCCTTACAAAATAGTATTAATCCAGGAATAAACATACCTCAACAACGCTTTTAGCATAAGTTTCAATTTTAGGCCCAAGTTTTTGGACTTCGAAGTCACATTCCAAGCAATCTAATTCAATTTCTCTTCCTCGGTCCTATTAAGATGAGCATAATTAAAGGACACACAAATAATCAGGAGCAATCTTTGCTTCTTACAAAAAATTAATTAAAATGCTCAGATTTTCTCTTTGTAGATACCGTATAGGCCTAAGTAACATATATAACATTGAGCCATAATGTGCTTTGGTTGTGGTTTTGGAGTTTGGGTTCTTTCTGTGTGTGTGTGTGTGTGTGTGTGTGTGTGTGTGTAGTATATCATGATATGTGAAATATTTATTTATTTATTTGACTTGTATGACTACCCATCTGGTAAAACACAATTTTGGATGGCTCACTACAATAATAAAATCAAAACCAAGAAGTCTCTGATTGATCCTGGGGTTGATGAGTTCCCCTCCCCTCTCGACTTGTATGGCTGTATGACTTTTGTGTATTTTAATTATGTTTATTGTGTCTGTGTCCCCTTTTCCCCTTTGGAGTTGTTCGCCGCCCTGAGTCCCTCCCGGAGAAGGGCGGCATACAAATAAACTAAACCTGAACCTGAACCTGATCCAACAATCCACACAGTGATGATTTCTTTCCCAGCGAAGTATAACTAAAATGCACCGACTTAGGGTTATTTTATGATGAGATATCCTTAGGCCATCCATCATCATGGGAAATTCTATGGAAGTCTATTAAAAGCTAATGGCCGCTTCCAGCCAGCCACTCTTTCTCTGCCTTAGGAGAAAGCAAGGAAGGGCACGCCAGTTCTGAAAATGTTGCCCCCCCCAAAATGAATGTACTTACCCAAGGAAAACCTTCCAAATATTTCATTACTTGAAAATGTACCACTTTATTTATAATGTGATTATTAACAAATATAATATTTAATCAGTTCCCAAGCACCGGCACAAGGCTAACAATGTTTATTAGAGAATGCGTATCCTTCAAAAGAGGACTCTGCAGGTGGTCATCTGAGGTCCTTTTTAAACACTTGAGTAAAAATGGCAGATTTAATTATTTTAAGATTTATCCAAAATCTTCACATGCACCTCACTCTTTAAAAAGATTTCCATATCCCAATAATTTTTTTTTAAATCTTATTCACCCAGCTGAAAATAGCATACACAGCCAGGCAAGCTATAATATAATTTCCTATTATTATGGACATATGTAATTTAATTTCTTTGTGTTTTCGATAATACATTCCTCAAACACTCTATTTCTAATTATTATTTTAAAAGAGAAACTATGCTTCTAGGGGAAAATGTGTCTCCTGGGATTTGATCGTTGCTATGTTTTATCTACGTAATTTTGGAAAGATTTTTTTTTGAAATTTGTTTATTTTGCTTATATGGCACCTTCCTGTCAAAAATACATTTATATACAAGTGAAAAACAACAACAGCAATCCTTTGCGTTGAGGATGCTTCATGGCAATATAATTCAAGGTAGGATTTTTTTAATACTCACGTGAATTTTATAATTCTTCAACTCTTTTAAACATAACATTGCAATACTTATACAATTTAATCTCAAGGAAAGTCGTGCCAGTTCTAGCAGCAAAGAAATTCTGCAAAAGTAAAAGACAGAAACAAAAAAACAGAATCGGGATACAACTAGCAAGTAACAGAGACTTTTACCTAGTAAAGACCAACAATTGATCACTCAGAAGATATTTCGACTGAGTTATGAACAGAAAAATAGGAGAGTGGCTGCAAATCTAGTATCCCAGATGGGTTTTTTTTGTAAGATAGAAGTACCGGGAACATTAATATAAATAAAATCTTTTTAAAAAAATTCACTTAGAAAGTTGGAACAATCATCTATCTACCTGTCTACTTCTCTTGCTAAATAGCTTGCCGAGCTTTTACAGCAAAACTGAGAGAAAAACAATGTAAGCTATATATACTATAAACCTACAAATACACATTTTATATTTAAAAAGGCAAAAAACAGAAGTCGCGACCTTAGTACAGGTTCCCAACAAGAAGAAAAATAAAACAAGCACAACAATAAAATAGAGAGAGAGAGAGAGTGAGTCACGGAAAATTTTTTCATTGCTGTTAGGAAGTTTGGAATATCATATGTATACTAACAGATGGAAATCAGAATTTGGCCAAAAAACTCATTATTCATCAAACATTAAAATAAATACTGCTTTAAGAGCATTTCTGAACAAAGTAAATACATCAATTTTATATTTTAGATCTGGATACAATGTAAATAATAAATACTGACATTTTAAAAAGTTTCCAGAATATTGCTAAATATGAAACTCACCTTTCATTACGCTGTATTTCCTTTTTAGATCCTTTCAAAAGTTCAAATATGTTATTCAAATCTGTAAGAGCATCTTCTGGAATCTGATTTTTATCTAATTGCCTGAAAATATTTTATTAGTAGATGATTGATATTTTCAAATTTTCTCTCTCTATACATCAATCTCCATCCATCCATCCATCCATCCATCCATCCATCTTAGGGATTTCTATGCCTAAATGAAATTCACCTTGTCAAATAATCAGGAGAGGATCAACAAGTTCTTGCTCCCACAGGAAATGAGAGAGGTTTGGGTCAGAAAATCAACCTCCTTAGTAACAGTCCCAACACTGAAATACGCATATCACTCCGAAGATATACAATGACTTTGATACTTAGCAAGGAAAGGAGATGACCATTTTATTCTTATTTTTATTATTGTATTATCAATGATTTATGTATATATGGAGTGTGCTTATGTTGAGATATTTCTTTATATTGCTCAATCGTTAGATTGAAATAGTCAATTATACTTTAAACAAGAGGATGGATTTTTTTAAAATAAAACATTACAAATTCAGTTTAGTGTATATATAAGGGGTAAAGAATAGGAGGAAAAAATACCAACTATGCTGCCTTGAGTTACTGAACTTAAAATAGGATGTAATTCTAACAGATCGATAAATTCAATTTGTGCATTTTCTTTTACTTATGATTTCCAAGATACCAGTCTACCTTTAGATATATAAATACCAAAGAATTACATGAGTAAATGCTGGTACTTACCCTTTGATTGTTTGAATTTTATATATGATGTTCAAACTAATACAGCTTTCAAGTTTATCTTCTATCTCTGAAACTTCCACTAGTTTGTTACGCACCTATAAACAGTTATCATAGTTTATAGAAAACAGGAAAACAACAAGAATTTCCAACATTTGAATGTTCATTATAGATTCTTAAAATAGAAAATGATTATATTTCAATCTAAAGACCCAAAAAAATTCCTATGGGTAAAATGGTTCCTTGAGTGAAACTCTGTAGGTCACGAAACAATATAAGCATGCACCAAATAATTTGCTCTATTTTCTTTTCTTTATCAATTTTTATTTTATTCAAAAATAGTTAAAATACAAAACACCAAAAGCTCCTCCCCAAGACGGCTGCTGAACAATAGGAACGTTTCCTTTTTCCTGCTAACAATTTCCTGCCAATGCCGATTTTACTGCCCAAGGTGATTCTTTGGCAGTGCTGCTCCCTGGATTTGAACAGGAGCACTTAGGAAAGACCCAGCTGTGGATCCACCTGGGAAGTGGAATCTTGGAGATTCCAGTTCTCTATGGGAGCCATGGGAAAGCCACTGGGCATTTATCTTTCTCTTGGCAGCTTGTTTTCTTAAGCATGCATGTTTAACTTCGCTTTTTGAATCCTCTGTGTTACTTTGCTTTTTATATTTAAAAGTTGATCAGTTGGCTGAATGCTAATTTATTTTAACCCCTTGCTGGACTCTGCTTTTTCTTTTTCCTTTTGATTTATGCTGTTATTTTGAATAATTTTTACTTCTCTGTAAGGAACATGATAATGAAAGTGCTTTTACTTGATTTACATTTTATTGGACTACAAGGATTTTGTATTTTATCAATTGGCAAAAATTTTGGAGTTTATCTTTCTTAATCTTTCTTTTAATCTTGGATTGAAATGTACAGAAAGTATCTTACCTGCTTTCTGTCTTTTTACTTGTTCTGCTTTGAAGAACTCTCTTATCTACTACACTGAGCAATAATACTTGAGATTACAGAGAAGGAGGCTGCTATTCAAAAAATGATTGATGGCATGCAAGATAAAAGCTTTTTTAAAAAGTTTGATGAAATTATAAAGGCTGTGGAAAACATTCAGAGGCAAGTGACTGTAAATAAATTAAATCCATAAAACGATGAAAGTGATTTCAAAGCAGTAGATTCCTGGGAAATATGAACCCAGACTTAGAAATAACAGCACCAACTCTGTATACCACTCTGAAGTCCAAGCCTGCACTCTTATACAGTGGATTGAAGAAGATTGGGGAATGGATTTATCACATTTAACTGGGGAAAAACCTTATAGACTTTTTTGGGGGGAAGATAGGACTTATTGTATTTAATCAGACAACAATTGATAACAGATTGTATTAAGTAATAAATGTAGATATTTAATCCAGGACCAATGAATGTTAATTCATGGGATGATGTGGGATAATGAAGAAGGAGTGGTAAATTTTCTACAAGTTGATTACAATAACAATGTGTTAAAAGAGAGGTTTGGGATTTTAATCCTATTTATTATTGTTCTTCCTGTTAACTACTTATTATAAATGTAGTATATATGACCGGTTAACAACTTGCAAATAGAATTAGTAGTTCAATAGTTTAAAATTCTTTGGGCTGGTTTCACAAGGGGCGGGAAACTAATACCGTGATAACATATTAATCAGCAGTCAACTGGAGGGATAATATGTGTATGTGTATTAGTCTTTTTTAATGCACCTTTTTCTTTTTAATGTCTTATTTGTTTTTTTTTCTTTATTGTTCCTCTTACCCAAAATATTTGGAATAACACATTCTTTTCCATAATGAATCATCAATTTACTACTATATTTCCCCCCATAAAATGAAACATTAGACGTAATGTAATTAGACTCTTAACCACTTTCAATTTCACTTTCCCACAAAACAATTATGCAGTTTAGTGCAGGACCAAATTGACAGAATAACAGAGTTGGAAGGGATCTTGGAGGTCTTCTAGTCCAACCTCTTGCTCAAGCAGGAAACCCTATACTATTCAGAATTCACAAAGGTAATTTATAGGTAACTTGATAACCTAAAGAGCCCCTCCTGCTCTTTATAGTGCTCAGGTTTTACGTTTAGCCTTATCTTCCATGGCTGAGGATGGACTGGAACATGGCTTTGATGCTCCCTGTCAAGCCCTTTGCCTACCCTTTACCTACTGTAGAAGAATTGTGAAAAAAGTGGAGCTTCTCCTTGAGCTCCTGAAGGAAAGACAGGCTATAAATCTAAAAGTTAATCTTTGTCTTCTTATATTTTTATTTCATTTTTGTTTCCTACTACAATATATCCTTCTCATTTTTTTAATTATGTGTCATAAAGTACCCATTCGAAGGATATAAAGCAAGATGCATTCATTGCTCATTCAGGTGAAACACCACCTTTCATACCTGCAACTTTTCTAGCATTCTGTTAGCATCAAGGGGAAATTTTAAGTTCAAAAAAAAAAATTACCATTATTGAAAATAAATCCTTATATCTACTTGGCACATTTTCTTCAATGAATGTAGCTGCAGTGGATGAAAAGGTTGTGGCTTCTTCCATTCTGGAAGCATCCAGGAAACACTCAAGCAATTCTCTGGGATGAAAAAATGATTATATTAAATATCCTTTTGAAAAATATTGGTAAACAAACAACTTTTATGTGACTTTTGACAAAAGCCCTTCGACAACTTGAAAGTTTTTTACTTTATAACCTTGACATAGTGAAAACAAAGACCCTATTTTGAAATTATTGTAACTAATATTTTCGTTTCTGTAGAAATAATGATGTCTTTTTTGAAAGCTATTTAAAGCCCATTATTTTACAAAAAGCATATGTGAAACTCATGCATGATCTTCTGCCTTAACTACTGGATGCAAAGTCTTTAGCTTTTATTCCAGACTTTTAAAGTAAAATAATCTTAACTACGAAGCCTAAAGGATATAGTTGCTATATTTGCTGTATATATTTTACATCATGTATATTTTACCTGATCACTCATTTTGAAGATAACAAAAAATAGAAAAAAGTATTACTCAATTAATCAGAGGCACAGTGGTAAAAAAGAAAAAAAAACCAAGAAAAATGCAATCTTATCAAACATGTTTTTTTAAAATCATTTGAGCTATGCATCAGATGTTTTTAAAAACTAATAATCAGTCCAGTGTAGCAGAATAAAATTAAATGTGCTTTTCTTTCATTCCCTCTTACTGAGAAATCTGTCCAAGAGTCTGCATTTTGGTTAGGACAAAAAGGATGCCCTCTGTCCGCATATTATATTTACCCAAACTTTAGGACATAGAATTTTGCACTGTGGCCATTATGCAATTTTGTATGTGCATATGTAGAACTGAAGCTTACACAAGTAGCACTCACAACTGTCCTCCTTAGTGGCCATTCAAGGTTACAGCAGTGCTAAAAAGTAACTTTACAACCAGTGGACGTGCAGTCAGGGGAGGCAGAGCCTCACCACTGTCATCATGAAAAGAAAAGAAAAATGTAAAAGGAAAAAGGCAAGAGCTGCTGAGGTCAGGCTGGGCTAGTTGCTGCCAGAGTCACCGTGTGGATGACGCTGCTTAGTGCTTAACTGTTTAAAAAAGCCTCTAAAAAAGCGCCCTCTGCAGGAGGAGGCGGGAGAATGACATGTCGTAAGAGTCTGACTTTAGGCGTTTTATGTTCACTCGAGCAGAGTTAAGCAAGGGTTAAAAGCCTTGCTTAACTCTGGACTACCAGTATTTAGGAGGTAATTTGATGAAGTGGAGTAGTATGTATTTGAGATGCCAAGATCCTCAAAACAGATGCATATATATATATATATATATATATATATATATATATATATATATAGAGAGAGAGAGAGAGAGAGAGAGAGAGAGAGAGAGAGAGAGAGAGAGAATGAATTATGTTTGTGTTCCCCTGAACTGAAAATAATCTCTCATTAAAAAAATTATCCCAACAGAAAGGGTAAGTCTCCTACTAAGTTGATTTTAAACCAAACGTTTAGTGAGTCTATGACTTGCATAAATAGGTTTTATGAGGTTTTCCAAAACCCATTAGATCAACTTCCATAATTATTTAAAAGTTATTTTAAAATATCATGAAAACATCAATGGTTTTTTTGGTCAAGTGCCAGGGAAATCAGGGCATTCAGGCAGTTCAAATGTGTACAAAGATTTATTGCAAGCTTAAGCACTCTACAAGAATCTGACCAACTAAGGCAGGGGTGTGAGACTCGTACCATCACAGCAGTATCACGTGACATATTGGGACTTCCCCCTCCCCTTTGCTAAACCAGACGAGGACGTGGCCAGCACATGACGCTTCTGGCTTGTGGGCCACGAGTTTGACAACCGCGAACTAAAGGAAATGAGTGGGAGATAAGAAAGGCATTCAAAGTGGACATGCAGAGACTCATGACTTATGACGTATTTGACCCTCTCTCTAGCTCAGCCTGCTCATCGCCTACACTATCTTAAGTTATTTTCAACCACTAAATTAATGATTAGTATTAAAAAAATTCAGGAATGCTAGCAGGCAGTTTTAACCTATCCTATTTTTAAATCAAACCAACCTGATTTCTCATTCAAAATCTTGACATTATATAGCATTTCGTACACAATAATAATAATCAATTAAGTTCTAACTTAACAACTCTTTGCTGAATGTTAACAATAGAATATTAAGTCTACATTTGAGCCAGCATCTCACTGACTAGAAATTCCTGGACAGTTTCTTTTCTTCCTATGGAGATATTGATAACCTAAGAAAAGCCAACATTTGTTGCAACAACAACAAAATTGTCATATTGATTTTACTGACATGGAATGATTCTTTCTCCAAACAGGAACTCAACTTACATCATAAGTTCTGCTGTCCAATCTTTGTCTTCCTCGTTGGGATGATTCAATGCGGACACAATCTGAGAGAGGCTCGGTATGAGAAAGTAGCGGAACCCGGGCTTTAAAAATGGTCTTATATTTTTCCAATAAATAGATGATGCGTTATATATCAAAAAATAGTATCTGGAATAAAAAAAAATATTATTCATTATTCCTTAAGAGTATCTGGCCCCAAATGGAAATAGATAAGAAATGGATCTAGGATATTCTTATATCAAGACTTTCCACCATCAGCTTATTATATTGGGGTTTTTTTTATTCATGCATAACCTGAAAAAATATATATAAGGAACTGGTCAAGGGAGTTGTGTTTTATGCTCTTTCCCCAAAAAGATACGGGTAACTCTTTGTTTGCTGTATGATTGTTTAGATGGAAAGTGCAAACTTTGATCTATCTATCTATCTATCTATCTATCTATCTATCTATCTATCTATCTATCTATCTATCTATCTATCTA